GCCCCACTAATTTGTCCCTTGCGATCGCGACGGTCAAGTCCAAAGGGGGCGATCAGGCCTCCCGAGGGCTGTACCGCCGCCCTTCTTTTCCGTGGCTTCGGCCCTGGGGAATTTTAACCGACGCGTTAGGCCCTAGTCAACTATGACCGTGGACAGTCCTTGGCACAAATTTGACATGGCGTGGAGGTTGACCGCGTCGAGTCAAGTCCCGTTGACATGGCACGTAGTCCTCAGACAACGTGGCATTATGTGTAGCTGCTGATGTGGCACCCACTTGAGGAACAACGAAGTACATTGTCTGACACGACATTCCTTGGAGTGTTGCGACTTACCTTGCTGACGTGGCATTCTCGAAGCAGCAACATCGTATCCTGGTTGACGCGACACACTCAAGTCGACATTCCAGTGGGCATATACGGGTTGAGCAGAATCTTGCTGCTCGCGTGTTCCTGAGGCATCTCCATCACTGAAGGCCTAGCCGGCCATTGACGCTGACGTGTCACCGTGGCCGTGTTGGAGTGTGACACGTGGCAGATCTGACGTGACATGCTGCCAATCCGAGGGAAGATTGGTGGGAACTTAACCTTGCATGTGCGTGACCTGACGGGGGGTACAACACGAGGCTAAGCTGTAGTGCCACACGCCAGGAGCATATCACACGCCAGGAGCATATGTTTGGTCACATAACCATCATAACGAAGACAACGAGGAGATCATCTATCACTTGTTTGTGGATATGTGTTGGTTGCTTGATTGTACTTACCTGTCGTGGGCTGTCTTGTGGATGGTTGCGGACTGTGGCTGTGGAAACATGCACAAATCTTAGGAACATCATCCGATAGATAATCAACAGTTAAAAGACATAGAAAATTTAAAATTTTGATTCCGTAATTACTTTTTATTTCTTTGCTTCTTGCCGTAGGATTAAAATCCGTTTGTAGTGAGGCCGTGGAATTTTCAATTGTTTTTATAAGTTTACTGTGCGACATGCATCCATCTTGACTCGATTCATTCGTCTATTCTTATGCCCATCTCAATCACTTTCTCCGCTGATCAAGAATAAGAAGTGGTACGGACCCGCAAACAAATTGAAGATAAATGATAACAAATGCTAGGCTGCCTTCGCCAGTTGCTCGCAGAATTGCACGATGCTGGTCTAGAAGCTGAACATTATGTACGCAACCAGTTCGATCTGTGTGCTGCAGAGGACAAACTTTCTCAAGGCTGAAATTTCTGTTGAGATGCTGGAGACCACTGGTAGAGTGCAACAGATCATCAATTGAGGATGGATGAGCCTCGATTATTACAGTTTGCAAGGATAGCTAGAGAAGAAGTAAAGGAAGAGGGGAAGGGAGAACCGAGTGAAAAGGGGGAAAAACCTGAATTGACTGAAGAAATTATGGATGACACAATCAGACAATTGCAGGCTGCATTGGAAGCAGAAATGAAGAGGAAGGAAGCCTATTAGAAACAACGGAAAGAGAAGAGACAACATGCAAGGAAAGTAGAAGAAATAATATCGTGGATACAGAATCTAAGGTGTCGTCTGTATTGCAAAATATGATGGCTTACCTTGCACACCTGGAGGTCAAACTTCACAACGTCACCACGAAACTTCAGGCAAAGACTAGATCAGTGAAAGAAATGAACGAAGTGGTGTAAGTAGAAGTAGAAGAAGAAAGACAAGAAGAAAAGAAAGAGCCTTAGAATTTGTGGTGCTTTTTTAGCTACTACTGTTTTATTTATAATTTCATTTAATTAATTGAATTGGGGAAGGGTTCCAAATAATGGGAACTACCCAATAATAAATAAGAAAAAAAACCAATAGCAAATCCTATGTCAACTCCAGCTCACATAGTGCCAGAATGGTATTTTTTACCTATTTATGCAATTCTTCGTAGTATACCGAATAAATTAAATACATATTTCAAATCTTTTTTTTTGATTGACGATCGGATTGATCCATCCAAGTAATGTAAATGAATGTTTTCCCGATATAGCTGGATGCACACTCTAATCTGGTCAGACCGGACCGTGTTCGTATGTCAGTCAAGGAACACGTGGCATCATACGTAAATGAGCTTTGGCTGGTACAACCACTCGATTAGATCCCAAGCGAAACGCTTGAGCTTCCAGTCGCCTGGAAGTTCAGACTGTTTCTTCAGCCCTTTTTTTATGTGTAGGTGCTTTATATGATCGACATAAAACCCGACTTGTTAAATATTATTGGTGTTCCTTCTAATATCTATGAATTTTATCTCAACAATGCTGGATCTCTGAGATGAAATTATTGAATCCTAAATTTTTGCAAAAAATCGATTGAAATTTGATCCGGCTTCAGGTTGGTTTCCTGCGGATTATGCCCATTACATTTCAGTAGCAATTGTAAAACAGGAAAACTCAACAGAATAGCCATGATTGATGATTGATTTTCAAGAGTTTCTATGGAATCAACTATCACGATCGTCGAAATTTCAAGCCGTATTTCATTCATAAGTTCTCCAACACGAAGAAGTGTCCTTAACTCTCAAGTATGCGACGAAACAAAAAAAGAAAAGAAAAAGAAAGAAAGGCAGCTCTTTGTTTTTTGAAAGGATGCAGGATTTTGAAAATACAGACTTTGATTCAAGCGCGTAAAACAGAATTATCGGAGCTTGAGAAATTTGTTATGCGACTGAAGAGCATTGCCGATAGAGGGGAGTCAGGTGAGTTTGGCGACGAGTCGCTGCGGCGCGGAGCTATTGCTGTTCTATTTTTATTTGTGGTTATGATGTACCCAAATATCGCGTGGTAAAAGCAGAAGGTACGAAAGGTGAGCAATAGAACAAAATCATCTGCTGACGTAAAATTTCTGTTCTGCCGAACGAAGGCCTTGCCGCAGGTTCCCCTACGGCTACCTTGAAAAATGGTTCCTACGATGACATGAAAGCCATGTAGAAAGTACGTAATGAAAGTGTGCTACTACATAATAAGTGTCATGTAGAGCAATGTCAAGACTGTGCTGGAACACCTCGGAAGGTACGAAGTACGGAGACCTTTCTATTGTCGTATTTTTTTGATAGTCTTATCCGGAAAAACTGTCAGCTTACGATTGTGGTTTTGAGGGCGGCCGGAAAGGTCCATTTGTAGATGCTTGTCTGTTGAAAAAGCATTCGCGTGTGGCTCTGCCATCAGTAACCAAAAAAGTTTTTGATGTATTATTATTCCAAGTATTTTGGCTAAAATGCGGAGAAATTGATGAAAGAAGCCATGAAATCCCATGACCCTGCCTTGGGACAAAACTTTTTTTTTTTTTTTTTTTTTTTTTTTTGCGCTGGGGCCTGCTTGGAACCCTGCCCGGGGGTCATACACGGCCGGGCACCTGGGCATGTATCCGGGCACAAGTTATGGATGCCTGGAAAACACCCTAGACAATTTTTCATTTTACTGTTTTTTGCATAGTTGCGGCGCACGTGTGCGGTGCGCTGTGCGCTGGTTTAGCAGGGTGCGCGCTGTGCGCTGTGCGCGCGCTGCGGCCTGTGCGCCATGTGCGCAGGAATAATTAAAAAAAATGCTGTGGGGGAGGAGGTGTGTGTGTGTGTGTGTGTGTGTGTGAGAGAGAGAGAGAGAGAGAGAGAGAGAGAGAGAGAGAGAGAGAGAGAGAGAGAGAGAGAGAGAGA